GGAGGTGGGCGGAGGTGGGCGGAGGTGGGCGGAGGGCCCAGGGGCCCTGGGGGCGGTGCCCGGTGCTCCCAGCGGAGGCCCCGCCCCGGCCCCGCCCCCAGCCCGCGGGCAGGATTTGGCGAGAACCCACTTCAAAGGGTCCCAGGAAGCGCGCACGAGCCCAGAGGAAGCGGCACAGCCTCCCCGCCAGCGCTGGGGGTGGGGAAGTCAGGGGCTTCCTCCCGCTCCGCAGGCCACAATCGGCAGCCCACTTGTAAGACCCTAGACTCACCTCATATCGCCTCATTATCGGGGGGGGGGGTGCTCAGCAAAGCTTTTTTACTCAGCCAGGATCACCCCAAAAACCTCATCTGAAAATCGGACCGTCCACCCTCTTTTGAGGCTGCAACTGGGGTATTTTTTAAAAAGATGGGGCCGTAGTAACCGTGTGCATGTGCGTGTGTGCATGTGTGTACACCCACTGTATGCCAGCGCATTGGAGCCAACAGGATGGAGTAAATGTGGCCTCTGTCCCTCAGGGAGCTCCCTGCCTGAAGCACAGGTAGTTGTAACACACTGTGACAGTGGAGTTTATTACAGAGTGAAACTATTTGTTTGGTCTGAGGGACCCTAGATAGCTTTTTACAAAAGTGACTTTTGAAGCCTGGTGTGGAGGCCCTTGCCTGTAAGCCCACCCAGCACTTGGGAGACTGAGGTAGGAGACTTGTCTCAAATTCCTGGCCAACCTGGGCTGCACAGTGAGTTCAAGGCCAGCCTGAACTACATAGCAAGACTCTGTCTCAAAAAAAAGTGACCTTTGATTGCAAAGGAAGCACTAGCTGAGATTTAATGATTCAGTATGGCAGGCAATTTAATCCTAGCAGCTGCCCGGAAGGGTAGACACGGTTATCATTATGCTCCATGTCAAAGGCCATGCACCTGATGTCACGCAGGTGGCCACACAACAGAATGTAGGTCTGCTGGACCCACCTACCCATCCACCAAGTGTGTCCTGGGTTCCCCCTAGAGAGCCAGCCCTCCCCTACAGTTCCAGCCTCTGTTCTGTGCTCCATCAAGGCAGGTCCAGAAGACTGAGAAAGAGCTGGCCAGATGGAAAGGGCATCCAGGAGGGGGTGCAGCTCTGATGGTGGTGTCTAGGCATGAGAGTGCATGGTGTGTTCAGAAGGGAGCAGGTAGACAGGGCTATGGGCAAGACGAGCTTCTCTTCAGTTCCGCCTATGCTGTGGACCAGTTGTGTAACTGTGAGTCAGATCTCTGAGCTCCACTTTCTTCATCTGTGAAAAAGGGACATGGATTTTCCTTCCAGGGCTGCTGGGAGGGGTGAATGAGTTTACATGGACAAAATGGCTTGGCATATATCAGACCTCCAAGAAATGTGGAGAGAAGCTGGCCATCGTGGTATGTGCCTATAATCCTAGCATTCTGGGAGGTTGAGGCAGGAGGATCACAAGTTGGAGCCTAATCTGGGCAATTTAGGAATTTAATGAGAACCTCTTTCAGTAGTGAAAAGGGCTGAGGAGGTAGCTCAGGACGGAAGGCTATGGGTTCAATCCCCAGTACTATGGGGGAAAGGTGGAGTGAAATGAGTGGAGGAAACTGATTCATAGTGTCATCACCAAATGCGAGCCTCTCCAGTGACTCTTGCATGGAGGGCACTGTTCTAGCTGGGCCAGAAATGCAAGGAGGTGTCAGATTCATCTCCTGCCCTATGGGCACCATGTAGTCTGGGAGACAGTTCAGAGCTCAGGAGGACAAGGAAGAGTTGAGGTGGGTGAGACCAGGGTCCTGATGGCCATGTAGTGGGGGGGCTGACCCTGTGGGTTTCAGGAAGAGGCCAGCATTAGACTAGACTGGAAGGCCAGGCTCCAGAGAATGAGTGTGGGGTTGTGGGCCTGGGGTGGGGGCTGTTTTCTGGGTCCTGCGGAAACGAAATGCAGGGGAAGAGAGTATGCGCTGGATCCTGACTGGCTGGAACCCCAGCCCCAACTTTCGTGAGTGAGCATGCTCCTCTGTGAAATGAGGACAGCAACAGTGCCCACCTCATGGTGGGCCTGAGCACCAGGGTGGGGCCATGTAGGTGAAGTGCTTAGAAGTGGGCCCGGCACCTAGTAAGCGCTTTATAAAATTTGGCTGTAGTTGGGCCAGGGATTTAGCTCAGTGGCACCTCGCCTGCCTCGAAAGCACAAGGTCCTGAGTTTGATCCCCAGTACCAAAAAAAAATTTTTTGGCTGCAGTAATCATTTCCAATATCTGGCTCTTGGCCCAAGGCAGTGCAGCTCAAGGGTGAGGTGAGTGAAACTAAGGCTTCCACATTCATCTTGGTCGTCTGTCTGCACCTAGTCCCCAGCCAAGTCCTAGCAAAGGTGGGTACCTGGGCAGACAAGCAAGGCAGCCATACACACACATACACACACACACACACACACACACACTCACACACACACACTCAGGTTCTACCTGCCTGTACCAGAAGCCTTGCCTGTTGCAGTAGCAGTTAGGCCCTGAGGGCTCTTTGGGGCCTTTATGGGGTAATTCCATCTCCATTAGAGCTGATTATGTCACAATAAATACCACCTTTCCGCGCTGCTTTATAAGACTCACTGGGGAACTTTCTTCCTTATCATGCAGCCACCCAGAGCCCAAGACTCTGGTCAGAAAGAAAAGAGAGGAAGGGCGTGCCACCAGATAGGTGACTAAAGGCCAGGAGCTTTCCCCACCCCATGCCCTCCTGCCACCTCACACACCATCCTGCCGCCTAGGCAGCTCTGCACTCAGCCTCAGGCACACAACCCACAGCCATGGGGCGGCCTGCATCCCTGGCACACATGTGTAGGTTCACCCTTTGGGAGCTATGCATGGAAACCCACAGGTTACAGAAAGGGCCAGCTGGCACCACACATCAAGAATTTAGTGCCACACAACTTTCCAGCACCTTTGTTCACTCATTCAGCAAAGGTTTGGGGTCAAATACCTACTATATGTCAAGCCCTGGTTTCTACAGACAAATCCAACATGTAGCATATGACACGCATCCACAACAGGGTCTTACAAATAACTCACATGAAGTCTTACGTACGCCACAGTGTCACTAGTCCTGTGCAGAACATTTACCCATACCACGTATTACAAGTACACACTGGTCTCCACACACACTCACGTGCCTGTCCGCAGAGCCCTGGGCATACCACGTGCCCCACCCTCACCAGATGTGACTTCCTCTTGCTGAACCGCATGCAATGCTAATAACAGTTGAGATTTAACTGGTGCTTTCTGTCGTCCCGGCATATGCGGTTACATGCATGACCTTATTTGATCTTCACAGTAACTCTCCCAAGTAGGTTTTTAGTCTTCCCGATGAGTAAACTGAGGCTCAGGGAAGTGAACTAACTGGCTTGTTTAAAAAGCTCACTGACTGACTCCACAGCCTGTGTTCTGTACCACTGTGATGTAGGCCACACTCACGCACACACTCACAGGAAAATCCTCTCCCTCCCAACACTCAAACATACACCAGCACGTTCATATGCACACCCACATTCAAACACATTTCACACACAGACGTCTTCTTACAAGCACACGCAGACACCAACACTGATGTCCTCCCCCACACCAGTACTTTCATCTACGTGCGAATGCACACACCCTCACATACTCTTGCACACACAGCCTCAGAAGACCAAGCCCCCCCAACAACCCGATCAAAGGCTTTAATTAACCCTAACACCTGTTATTAACCCTTCCTCTCTCCCTGCAGGGGAAATGTCTGGACCTGCTTCTCAAGGGCAGGCACCAAGTCCAGGGTGGCCACATCCAGCAGGGAGGGCCTGGGTGCCTGAGGAGCCCAGTATGGCCGCGCGGTGTGCAGGACCAGGGGAGTCACTGGAGGAAAGGATGGGGTCAGAGAGAAGAGGTGGGCAGAGGAGGCCCTGGAAAACCAGGCTGACTACAGCTGTTCCTTCTGCACTGGCCAAATGGTGATTGGGCAACACACAGCAGTGGGTGTCCAGGCAGGTGGCTGACAGGACATTTCCCGTTTGTTTCGCTAACACCAGCCGCTTCCGTCATAAGGAATGATGACTTAACTTCTGAGGAACCTTGCGGGAGAGGCTCCTGGAGAGACTGTGGGAAGCAGGTGTCCTCCAGTGGCTCATTCTGCCATGCCAGGGTCGGGGTACGGTGCTCGCCCTTCCCTGGTATTGAGCAGTGGCCAAAGCAGAGACCACTCGAATTCAAATCCTGCCTGAACAGCCTTTGGGCATGTGGTATAACCTCTTGGAGCCTCAGTTTCCTCTTCTGTAAAGTGGGGAGGACACCTGCCTCCCAGATGAGAATTAAATGAGATAGTGCTGGCCTCATTCTTTCCTAGAGGCGTCCACTTTTAGGTCACAGATGGCTTAGAGGCTTCTGAACAGAGACCTTTTCCTTGACCTTCAACAGGTTGGTGGGCTTGGTGCACCCTTCAGGGGTCCCAGGAAGGGGAGGGCGTTCTGTTTATTTCAAGGCTCCTCTCCCCAGGCTGCTGCTAAGGTGGCAACTGGTTCTTGAACCTCCAACCCATTTCTGCCAGGCTCGAGGCCAACGCTGAGTTCAGTCTCCCAGGGCAAAGGGCCCAGTGAGCAACTATACGACATTTGGGCTGAGGATTCTGGGACACCAGCGTTTGGGGCCGCTGGCGCTTCAAGGCGCGCAAACTCTGGGAGGGCCTGGGGGTAGCAGATGGATCCAAAGGGTCCCTGGGTCCTTGCCAAATCCCTCCGGATTTCCCCTCCCTCCTCCCCTCGCCTGTCTCCTTTAAAGACATTCCTGAGGGCGTGGCCTGGTGACGTCACGCGGGACATGAATGAACAGGAGCGGGTTCTCACCCAACTTCCATTAAGGACTCGGGGCAGGAGGGACAGAAGTTGCGCGCGGGTGAGCGGGCGGGCGGGAGTGGGGCACCAAGGTCGGCGGGCGTGCGGGAGCCGGGCATCTGGGACTGGGCGGAGAGCAAGGATCGCTGAATGGAGCACCGGGCAGCCCGCGCCTGCCTCGCCTTGCTGTGGGGCTGCGCTTTGGTGGCGGCCGCGGTGGCGCAGGGCAAGGAAGGTGAGTGTGTGAGCAGCTGCTGGACCCTGCCGGGCCCGGGACTCCGAGACTTCGCGCGCCCCGCCGTGCTGCGCACAGCTTCGGAAACCGACTTGGTGCCGCGCAGCCTGGGCACACTGGGGTCCCGAGAGCGTGCGGACGGCTATGAAGACGAGCCTGGGACTCGCACTGGGATCCTAGGGGCCGCAAGGACGGAGGGTTTGGCTCCGGCGTACCGGGCTCGGAGGCCGCAGCAAAGGGGACACAGCGCGGGCCGCTCGGCCGCAGCCCGGGGAGCGGCTTCAGGAACGCATCTCGGCGAGGGGCGCGGGGATTCCTTGGAGAAAGGGGCGTCCCAGGCGAGGGGGGAGGTCATGTGGGATTAGCTTCTTCGTGGCCTGAGTTCGCTTCACTCACTTGCCGCGATTTAGCGGAGAACGCATTTTTGTAAAGGCCCCGCTTTTTGGGGAGGGGGCTCCTCGGAAAGTGGGGAGCCCCCTGCCGGAGCTCCTGCCCGGGGGTTTCTCCATAACCCCACTTGCTTCCAGACCCGGGGTGAGACGGGAGAGGTTGAGGTCATTCCTTGCCACACGCGCCTTGCCCTCCTTTCCAAGCTGCCCTCCCAGGACTTGGGCACAAGTTAGGGGCAGCGAGTGAGGACAGGAAGTCCCAAAGCCAAGCTTTCTGAGCAAGGGGTGACTCAGAAGGAGGCAATGTGGCAGGTGGGGGCGCGGTCTAGAGAGGTGTGGAGCCGTCACCTCAGGGCCACCAAGGAGCCAGGGCACCCCGGGGTGGGGGACTGAATCACCCACCCCACCCCAGCATTCCCAGGCCGCACTGGGTGAGGGACCTCAGCAGACTTGCCCATGGCAGAGCTGTGTGCGCGGGTAGGGACGTTGTTCCTGGGCCAGAGTTGCAGAGAGGATGGGGACCCCTGCCCCCCAACAGGGAAGGGTTTTCCTGTCCACCCAGCAGCTGGCTTCAGGCTCTCCAAGCCAGGAGTTGTTCTGCCTGCTGGCCTGGGCTGCCCGCTGCTCTCCCAGGCTCTGCCAGGAGGAAGGGAAGGAAACCCTGGGCCTCAGAGCCTTGACTTCTTTTTCTGGGTTTGGAGGTTTTGCATGGAGGTTGAGGGTGGCAAGGCTCCTGGTCCCAATGGGACTCTGGTAGCAGAAGAGTTGCCTGGCAGGGATTTCTGCAAGCTCCCCCCCCCCAACTTCTGGTCCTCCCCCTTCCTGGGGGACTGTGGTTGGAGAGAAGGAGAGAGACAGCTGGAATCACTACAGGCCTCTCTCCTGAGCTGCCAGGGGGTGGGGGGATTAGGCGGCTGGGCTGCCTTGCTGCTGGGCCCCAGCCCCCAGCCCCCAGCTGGGAGCTGCCTGGTCCCATGCCTCGATGTGCAATGCTCCCCAGCCTCTGATGCTCCCTTCTCCACCCTGTCATGGGGTGGAGGAGGAAGGGGTGCAGATTGTACTGGGTCAGGGAAGTGTTTTGTTTAGGCTCCAAGAGTCCCCGTGAGGGGCTCCCTAGGGTGCTGCACCTCTGTGGGGGTGGGAGCCAGGGTCTTGGTTCCGCTGGCAGCTGCTGGTTTCAGTTCTCTGGGATTCAGTCCTGGGGGTGAGGGGCAGATGGGAGGACACACGTGCCCTCTCCACCCTGACCCTGGCTGCTCTTACATCTCTCTTTCTTGCCCCTACGCTTGCACCTGGAAACCCTGGTGAAACCTGTTAGTTCCTCTTACCATTTGTCCTCCTTTTACAAGTGGGGAAACTGAGGGAGCACAGAACACTTGCTTCTTGGGCTGCCACAGTCAAGGGCCCCTGACCTTGGGGCTGGTTTCAGGGTGGCTTTTACTGGGAAGCACTGTAACGAGGCCTAGGATGGAGCCGGTGGCCAGAAGGGGGCTGAGGAGTGCTCAGGAGGCCTGGGAGTCTGGACTCTTGATTCTGCAAGGGCCAGGCCTGCTTTCCTTCCCAAGTCGCCAGCCTCCCCCTTTCTCAGGTGTGAGCTGGTCTCCGCTAAAGAGGGCTGGGGTGCAGAGAGGTGGAGATGAGGGATGGGTTCCACTGCATTTATGAAAACACTGTAAAGTAGTGTGAATCACAAGGTTGACATTTACAGTGGAACCTCAGGAAGAGGAAGGCTTTTCCTGACAGTGGAATCCCCAACTTAGGCCACCCTCTAGAAAGCCATTGAGGGACTGAGGGGCTCCAGGACTACCCCCTTCCAGAGACACCAGTGCTATGGAGCTAGAGCCGCATGCTTCAGAGACTCGGGCCTGGGCAGAGGGACTGGGCTGGGCCCCCTGTTCCTGCTGGTTGGTTCCAGGGAATTTCCCAGGGAGGGGGCTGTGGCTGGAAGCCCCTGGGGAGGCTCCTTCCTGTGTGAGGCTCCTTTCTTCTCAGATGGAGCCCTGAGATACCTCTGAGCCGCCCTGGCTGCAGGGTGGGGGGACCTGCTGTGCCAGGCTAACCCTTCTGAGCCTGGAAGTCCCAAGGAACAGACTGCAGCCTCCTGCTGGGTGTGTGCGTGTGTGTGTGCATGTGTGTGTGTGTGTGTGTGTGTGTGTGTGTGGCTGTGAGGAGCACACACTCACCGTTGTCCTCCTTCCCACCCAGCTGTAGTCAGGAACCCCTGGATTCCTTCCTGTGTAGCTGGAACATTCCACTTGCTAGTGGGGTTACAGGGTTTTCCGTGTCGGGGCCCTGGGCAAGTCTGAACAAATCCCTGCTCCTACCCACCCCACCAGCCACTCTCCCCTGTCCCCACAGCCTAGGCGTGGGGCCCGGTGCCACATCGGATTTCCTCTTCCCTGTCTGGCTGTGGACTCTTCCTAGAGAGGTTTGGCTGAGGTCAGTGGCTGGGGTGGTAGCGCCTTACACCAGGCCCTCACCTAGGGGAGGAGGCTGTCTAACCTCAGGACAGGGCTTTTCATTTTATTATTTTTATTGGTTCAGGGGTTGAACCCAGGGCTCCATACATGCCAAGCACATGCTGTACTGTTAAGCTGCACGCCCCTTAGGAAGTGTCTTTCTTTAAGTATTGGATCTCAAACCCAGGGGAACTTCGCCCCTGAGCTGTATCTCTAGCCCTTTTATAAAATTTTTAAAAATTCTGAGATAAGGTCTTGCTACGTTGTCCAGAAGGGACTCCAACTTGTCAGCCATCCTGCCTCAGCCTTCTGCAGTACTGGAATCAGGCGCATAGGGCTGCCTCTGGCCTGGAAAGCTTTTTTTTTTTGTACCGGGGATCAAATTTGGGACCTTGTGCTTGAGAGGCAGGTGCCAGAACCACTGAGCTAAATCCCCGGCCCCTGGAAAGGTTTTTTAAGACTACCCTCAGGGCCTCTGATCTCTCACCTTACATTTGGTGTCTCCAAACCAGTCACCCCTGCTCCCAGCCTGCCTTGGCTGCCCTGTAGACCACTTCTCCCAGGCTCTGGCCTGGGGGCGATGGCTTCTCAAGGCTGGATCCTCAGGCTCCAGGGCTTCATGAAAGTGATTGCTTGGTTTCATCCTACCCTAGGGCTTTACCTTCAGGCTGAATGTATTTATTGGATTCTAAGCCTCAGTTTCCCCAATATCCTTGCCTTCCCTGGAGGTGGAACTTAGTGGCCATTACTTGGAAATGTGGGAGGGACAGCATCCCGGTCTTGGCTGCAGCTGCTGAGCCTGGCAGAGAAGCCAGGGTGGACCCATGGGAGGCACCTGGCAGGGCCAGCTCGGGAAGCCCTGGTAGTGGGTCCCTCTGCCTGGCTCCAGATGCTCTCAGGACAGCATGGTCCTGACACCTGGTCCCTCTGAGCCTAGAAAGCCCCTAGAAGGGTTTTCATCTCTGGTCCCCCAGGCACGCCTAGCTGGGGCAGTGGGAGCAACTTTCCCAGGGAAGGGGCCTCACCCGTTGTGTGTTCTTTGGGGCCCCTTTTAGGCCCCCTATGGGCTCAGGCCTTTACTCTGCCTGCTCTGTGGTGTTGTGGTGGGAAAATGGGTTCCAGGCACCTCCCCAACTGTTCCCATCTGTTAACGTTGCTCTCTTCCGAGCGCCATGAGACACAAGTACACATACGTGTGTGTGTGTGTGTGCGCGCGCGCGCATGTGTGCATTGCTGGGTGGCCTGGGTGGGGTGGGTGTTTCATGAGACAGAAGTAGACACCAGTGTTTCCAACCTAGTGTCCCAGAAGCCTGTGTGTGTGTGTGCACATGTGCATGTGTGTGAAGTGCCATGAGGGCCCTTGTCCAAGGAAGCAGTGGGGTAGGGCGTGTCACTTAATACCCTGCCGCCCTAGCTCTCTGCCCAGCTGGTCTTCTCCCACTGGGCCGAGTCCTTGTCCTGCTCTGTCCAGCTGGGGACTGGAAAGGGGATGGTGTGATCTGGGAGACAGGAGGTCCAGTCCTGACCCCAACCTGCTGTGTGCCTGAGTCCTACTCCTTCTCAGGTCAAGGCCTTGGGGATCTTGGTGGGAGGGTGCTGTCACCGTTCCTCCCATGGTTTTTGTCACACTGTCCCCTCTTGTTTCTCCTGCAGTTGTCCTCTTGGACCTCGCGGAAGCTAAAGGGGAGCTCGGCTGGCTCACGTACCCCTATGGCAAAGGGGTAAGGAGGCCTTGAGGGGTGGGAAGGGGTGTGGGATAGGACCCAGGGAGGTGAGGCCTGGCTTAGACCCTACAGTGTGCCCAGGCTTCCAGCTCAGGTCCTGCTTCTCGGATGGGGCTCAGCGGCCCTGCCAGGGCTGGAGCGTGGTGCTTGGTGCAGACAAAGAGCAGTGACTCCCAGCTCCCCACCATACCAGGGGTCAGGTTCCTTTCAGCTCCTTCCAGACCTCTCTCCCTGTCCCCCAGCTGTTGCTCTCCCTTCCTGCCATGCTGGAAGCTTGGCTCCTCCCCACCATGCTGCCCAGAGCTCTTCCCCCCTGTGGTGCCTAGCTGTGACCAGAGACTTCCCTGGCCTTGTGTGCGACTGCTACGTGATCTTGGGGAAGATACTCCTGCCATCCCTATCTCAGTTTCCCCCACTGTACCATGGATCTTTACTGAGTTTGTCCTGGGGCCCTGAGCCAGGGAAAGGGGCAACTCCAAGGTGTTCTTTGGGAGAGTGGTCGGATCTGCGTGACTCCAGTGATTGGGCCTGGTCATCCTCCATGGCCTGGGGTGTAGCTCTGAGCAGATTTCAGGTCCTGTAATGTCCTGCTGCAAGGCAGGTCATCTCATCCAACCCAGTCATTATCCAGAGTGGGAAACTGAGCAAAAGGGTATGCAAGCCATGGCCAAGGCCATGCAGTGCAGGTCAGGTCTCTGTCCTCGTCCCCTTGCTATCATTCATTCATCTAGTCATTCAACCAAGACTTCTCGAGCACCTGCGCTGCGCCGGGTGGGGTCACCAGGTGCCCAAGGACTCAGAGTCGAGCATAGGAGCCAGGGTAGGTGGCACTTTCTGCCAAGTCCTGTGATCAAGAGGGCGTAGAGACTGGGGGCCGAGGAGGGTGGTGGCCCAGCCTGGGAAACCTTCCTGGAGGAGCCTGAGCTGTGCTCTGAGGAGGGAGGAATGTTTGTTGATGGTTCCAAAGCCAAAGTCTAAATGTTGGTGAATCTGCCGTTGTTTTGATTTAACCCCTTCCCTGCCACTCATGTGCTGACATGTGGCATGCAGTGACAAGGAATGATGATAGCATTGCAGTGCCAGCTGCTTGTGTGACTGTCACTTTGTGCCAAGCTCTGTGCTTGACATTGTGTAGACATTGTGTCATTTATCCTCATAGCAGTCGTGGAAGGTAGGGGTTCTTATCCCCACTGTACAGATGGGGACATTGAGGTTCAGACTCCTTAAGTGACCAGCTGGAGGTCACCCAGAACCGCAGGATCCACCCTAGCCTAATATACAGATTCAGCACCCAGACATGAGGGCCAGAAAGACCAAGGCTCAGGTCCTGGTACAACTGCTGTGATTGTACCTCTCCAGGCCTCTGTTTCCTTCCCTGTCAAATTGAAAGAATAAGAACTGAGAAACATCTTCCTGGTGCCCGCTTCTACCACCTGGGCCTCAGTTTCCCCCAGATACCTACCTGTACTAACCTGTCCATCCTACACAGTGGGACGTGGCACAGAACATCATGAATGACATGCCCATCTACATGTACACGGTGTGCAATGTGGTGACCGGTGACCAGGACAACTGGCTGCGCACTAACTGGGTATACCGCGGTGAGGCCGAGCGTATTTTCATCGAGCTCAAGTTCACCGTGCGGGATTGCAACAGCTTCCCCGGTGGTGCTAGCTCCTGCAAGGAGACCTTCAACCTCTACTACTTCGAGTCAGACATGGACTATGGCACCAACTTCCAGAAGCGGCATTTCACCAAGATTGACACCATCGCGCCCGATGAGATCACCCGCAGCAGCGACTTTGAGGCTCGCCAGGTGAAGCTGAATGTGGAGGAGCGCACTGTGGGGCCACTCACACGCAAGGGCTTCTACCTGGCCTTCCAGGACATCGGAGCCTGCGTGGCACTGCTTTCTGTCCGCGTCTATTACAAGAAGTGTCCAGAACTGGTGCAGGGCCTGGCCCACTTCCCTGAGACCATTGCAGGCTCTGACGCACCATCCCTGGCCACAGTGGCTGGCACCTGTGTGGCACACGCCATGGTGCTGTCTGGGGGAGAAGAGCCCCGCATGCACTGTGCAGTGGATGGTGAGTGGCTGGTGCCTATTGGGCAGTGCCTGTGCGAGGAAGGCTATGAGAAGGTGGAGGACACCTGCCAAGGTGAGTGCTGGATCCTGGGGTGGCAGGGAAGAGGTGCTGGGTGGGGGACTGTGATCTCAGGGTTCTGGGCCTTTGTGGACATCAGTTTCCTCATTCATGAATTGGATTCTCAGTCATTGAGAATAAACGAATTAGAAACTGTTTAATACGGAGATGATGAGCCAAGATTCTAGGAATAGATTGCCTGGGTTTAAATCCCACTCTGCCTTGCACTGTGTGACCTTAAGCCGTTCCCTTAACCTCTCTATGTTTGGGTTTCACCATCTATAAAGTAGAGATCATCATAGTATCTATCTTGTAGGGAGGATATGGTAATGCAGTGACTTAATACTCATAAAAAGCTTAGATCAGTGCCTGACACATGCATACTTAAGCTGTGATTTTTGATTCAGCCCACAAGTAGTTCCTATCTCTACATGGCACCAACAGAGCTAGTTTCATTCCTGTTGTTACGTGCTCTGTGGTCTTAGGGAAGTCACTGAGCCTCTCTGGGCCTCAGATTTCTTTCTGATAAACAAGGAAGATTGAATTGGATCCAGGGTTTGCACTTGAGAATCTACGTGAGAGAACCCCCGGGAAGCCTCTGAAACAGGCGTCTGAGGGGGTGGTAGAAGGCAGTGCAGGCTCTGTGCAGGCTCTCTCCTAGCCAATCTGAAGATTGGCTCTCCCTGGCCAATCTTCCCCAAGGCCACAGACCTGGATTCTCCATTGAGGCTTTTATTGGTGGCAAACTAAGCCTCGAAAAAGGGCCAATGAAGTCAAACTCTCTCTGGGAATTCAGCCTGGGCACCAGTGAGCTCACATGGAAGAGGCTGTGGCTTGGCGAGGCCAGGGCCTGTGACAGTGGAAATCTACAGCGCCAGTGGATGACTCTTCTGGAGAGGGCTGTGGGGCAGGGCACACGAGGAATGTGGGCTGACCTTCGGAAGGCCAGCTCGTCCCCTTGCTGGACACTTCTTGCAGAGATAGGCAGGCTGTTGGGAAACTGGGGGCTTGGTCCTGCAGGTGCGCACACCTGCTGGGTGACCTTGGGTAAATCCCTCCTCTCTGGACCTTCTGTTCTGTAAGTAAAATGAAGTTCATTGTCACTTGCAGACTTCACACTTGCTTTTTAGCTGTGTTTCTGGCACCCCCACACCACTTTCTGATAGGCAGATCCTTAGAACTGGGCTTAACACATCTGGAAACACCTGGGTGAGAAGTTCCCTCCCAGCTCCTCTCTGCTGAGTGAGGCCCCTTTCCTGGGCCACCTCTGCTTAGGTGACCTCAGATGCACACTCCCAGCCTCGGACAATGACCCTTGGTGGGGGGGCACCCGCTGGGCAAGCAGGCTCCTCCCACATGACATCCTCCAACAAGAATGCAGGGGTGGGAGTTAGGGGCAGCTGAAAACTTTCCACCGCCCATGATTCAGGCCCTGCAGAGATAAGAAGGAGGGTCTCCAGGCAGCAGGGAGCCCCCCTTCCTCTGGAGGTGGGGGCTCAGGGTCCCAGCAGGCTTTGTTTAAAAAAGCTGAGCAGCCTCTTTTGGGATGACAAGTTCCCAGAGAGGGGACTCTGACTTAGCTGTCTGGATCCCTCAATTGTCAGGCATCTTCTGCCCTGGTTTCAGGATCCCTCATCACAATCCCTTCCCGAGTGGCTGGGGTTCACACTTCCCAGCGGCCCCCTCTGACCATGACTCTGTGGACTGGTGCTTTCCCTGGGCTCTGGCTGGATGCTCTGATGAGTCTGCCCATCTTTCTAGAAGACAGGGACTGTTGTTAGTGTCTTTGAACAGATAGGGAAGCTGAGGCACAGGTGAAGAAGCTCACCTGGAGCTACACAGCTAGGAGGTGACTACAGCAGGATTTGAATCCAGACAGCAGTGCCTGAGCTGCAGGATGGGGTGGGAAACAGAGTGGGAAATGGTGAGTTCCTTTGGAATCTCTGACGCAGGTCCTGGCGCTGAGCCCAGTGCTCTGGCAGCCCCAGGATGGTGGGTCACGGGATGGGGGGTCATGGTGCAGGGGCCAGGGGCTCTGAGAAAGGAAGGTGTGGCTGGAAGGCCGCTGCTGGCCTCCCTGCTTGACCTCACCAGGCCGTCAACCCAATTCCCTCACTGGACTTCACTGCTGCTGTACCCTGAGCCCACCAAGCCCACATCTCTTTGTCTCATCTTGGGGTGCTCTCCCCAGGGACCCAGCAGGGCTCAAGAAAGGGTTAAGTGGCATCCCAGGTGCTGCGCACAGATAGGTGGGCACGCTGCCCAGCAGAGCTCCCCTGAGCTATGTCAGGAATGAGCCCACTTCCCTCCATCCCCCGACCTGGTCCCTGGCCCTGCCCAGGGGACAGTGGAGTCACTCAGGCTGACTGCTGTCCCCTGGGGCTGCTTTGTCTCTGTTTCCTGTGCTGGCATGGGCAGCCAAGCCTTCGGGGCCCTGGCTGGCGCCTCAGCCAGGGGAGACCACAGCCAGGTGAGCAGGTGTCCTTCGGCCTTGGCCTGAGGCCCAGCCAGGCAGCTGGAAGCCAGCCCCTTGGGGATATCCCCTTATGACTCTAGTTTCTCTCTCCCTAGTTCTTAGGGGCATCCCAGTCCAAACACCATGCTAGACATTCACAAGCAAGATTTTCTTCAAGTCTTCAAAACAGCCTCATGAGCAGGAGGGCTTTTCCCCATTTCATAGATGAGGAAACAGATCCAGGGGACACAGTGACCAAAAGAACTGGGGCTTGGCACAAGGAGGGTAGCACACTGTCCTCAGTTACCCCTGGCATGGGTCCTCTTAACTACAAGCATTTTGACCTTGAGAAGCGCCCCCCCCCTTTCCCCATGTATAAAATGAATGGGTGGGTTGGACCAGTGGCTCCGAAGCACCTTGCACCTCAGGGGTCAGAGCCCGGCTCTGGTGGCTTTCTCCTCTGGCTCCATCTGAGCTGTTGACCATGTGACCCATCATGTGTGGTGAGGAAGGGGTCCCAGCACTGGCGTACTGAGTGGGCCAAGCCTAGCCTAGCGTCCACAGCAGAAGGAGAGGACTTCCCAGGCAGGGGATGGCTCTGGTCTCAGTGATCACATCTGGGGCTGGGGCAGGATCCTTGCTGTATCAGCACCAGGCTGATCCCTGGGCTGGGGCCTCTGTGAGTTGTTGATCATTGCCCTTGGGCCTGTCCCCTCTTTGAGGAGTGCCACAGGCTTTATTTTTGTTGCTGCAGGGACAGGGATTGTGATGGCAACTCTGTTATCCTGGTGGCTCTAACCTCTGTCCCCTGCCTGCCCGCCCTGCTGTCAGCTCACTGTAGGGGCAAATCCAGGTACTGGCAGCCAGGCAGGCAGAGGTGCTCCCTCCCTCCCTGGGGTAAGTGGGTCCCAGGAAGGGAAGAAAGGAAGGAAGGAAGCCAGCAGGGAAAGCAAACAGAAGATAAAAGGCTGGGGGTGGGAGAGAGCAGGAGGGGCCCTAGGGAGGGGAGGGGAGGGGAGGGAGGGGAGCAGGCTTATCACGCTTGGCTGAGGAGTGTGCCCACAGATCACTCCCTGGGGTGTGTGAAAGGGCAGGGCAGGGTGCCTCCTGCTAGCCTCAGTGGACCCTGGGAACAGCCCCCTCCTGCAGGAATGGCAGGAAGAAGTCACCAGGCCCTGTAGTTATCAGGGTCCCTCCTTTGCAGGTCAGTAACTTACAGGGCACAGAGACAAAGTCCAGGCTTGGGCCAAAGTGGTGCCTGTGGTCACCCTCCGGTCCTGGCGTGAGGTGACTGGCCCTAGGTGAATTGTCACCATGACCTCTTGACCCCCCCATGACCTCACCACCAGCAGCTAGGGAGTTGGCGGGGCCTGGGGGGAACAGCTCTGCCAGGGACTAAACTTGCATCATGCAGAGGGCGTCAGTCCCTGAGTCACCCATGCTGCTACTGAGGGGCAGGCATCGGGAACTGGAAAAGCCAGGGTACAGCCCTAGGTGCAGCCACCATCGCCCAGTTCCCCTGCTTGGAGTGGCCCAGGCCTGCCAGGCAACTGGGACCAGAGACACTCTCCCCACAGGTGTGCCAGGCAGGTGGGTGTCCCAGTGTATGACCTCCAGGGGTCTCCCTGGGCAAATACTGCTCACTCGAGTGGCCCTAGAGGTACCTGTTTCATTGCATGTGGCAGGCTTTGCCATCCACACAGCCATTGATTCATTGATTCATTGATCTCTCCATCCACCCATTAGCTGAGCACCAACTTCCTGCAAAGCGTGTGCTGGGCTGTGGGGTGCAGATAAATTGGACCCCATGCCTGCTCCCAGGGACTGCCAATCTCACAGAGGATCCATCTATGTGCAGAAATCATTTCAAATGAGGCATGAAAGCCAGGCTGTGAATTCCCCAGAAGCTGAAAAGATGCTTATCTGTCTCTCCATCCCAGCACTCAGCATCTTGCCAGACCCTGGGAAATGCTCAGTTCTGTCTGATAAACATGACTTTGAATACTAGGTACCCTAATGGAACACAAGGGGGCCAGGAATTGAGCAGTCTGGGAGGGCTGTGTAGAGGAGCTTAGGCTAGGTATTGAAGGATGCATAGGAGTTTGCTAGCTGGCTAAGAAACAAAGTATTTGGTGTATGTTGGGTGTGTGCTTGTGTATGACTGTGGTCCCAATTTGCCTGCCCAGAATCCCAGAAATCCAGCCAGGTTGGAGGCTTGCTGGTGTCCAAATGATAAATTCTGGGACCCCTAAATACTTGCAAACTATGATGGGGCTCGGGGAGCATGCAGGGGAGTGGCTCAGTATGTGGTTGGAGGAGGGGGTAGCACATTCTCGTCAGGCAAGCACATGCCCTGTTGACGCCGCCTCTCCACTGTATCATCCATCTGGCACATCCGAAGCGGAAATCTCTTCAAATTCCCTCTTTCCTGCCGGCAGCAGGCAGGCCACCCCCGGGCTCTGGGGCCAGAGAATGGAACTCACCTCTTCCCCTACCTCCTCCTCTTGGCACCGGGCTGCAGGGGTTGGGAGCCACTGCAGCGGGCAGTGGGGACCTGGTGTGGGGGGGCGGTATGGGAGGCTGGGCCCAGCTGTGAGGTTTCGGTCGCCTCCCCAGCCCAGAGCCCCTGATTCTGCTGGCCCTGGGCCTGCAGCACCCAGCATGTGGATGCCTCTGGGGACAAGCACCTGGGGAATCAGCCTGGCTTTGTGAAGTTTCATTTCTACTTGAGCTCTGGTGGAGGAGAGAGCTGTTTTCCTATTATAGCAGATGTCATGGGAAGAATACAAAGTGCACGTGGTTTCCTTAAATCCATCAGGAGACTTAAAAGACATTTGAGGCTTGAAAGAGACCACTTTAGCTAATCCTGGACTCGCCCTGGGCTGGAGCCTACACTTCCCTCCCTAGACACACATGTGCCCACTTTGACAAGAGCTGCTCTGAAACAATTTGGGAATTTTCCGGCTGTTGAAGCAGGTCAGGACACATCTCTCTTGTCACAGAGCCTTCATTTCTCTCTGCTCCAAATTGAAGTGTTCCTGGGAACGGAGGTGGGGAAGGAGAGAGGTCCAAGTCTGCGTACATTTTGGTTTCATGTCTTTGTAGCTTGGAGACCTAGTTGTTAGGCCTCTCTGAGGCTCAGTTTTCTCACCTGCCACATGGGATGAATGCTAGCAATGTCCATGTGTGACAGGTATTTTGTGAGGGTGAGCGGATGTGAAGTGCTTGGCCTGGATTTGCACCCAGTAGGTGCTTCGGCAGAGCCCACCACGTGATGGGTGCATCAGGGCTCCATCTGGGCTTCCATGGTAGGATGGACAGAGAGGGTCTGCTTGGGTAGCCCCTGGGCTCGGGTGGGGACGCAGCCTGACTTGGTGGTCACTTCGCCCTAACTCTTTGCCCCCTCTCACCTCTGGTCAAAGAGGGGGTTGGATCAGAGGTGACCAGGACACTTGAAATTGGGTGTCCTTACGTTGTCCAAGCTGACTTCAGATCCTAGGCAGCCTCTGTCCAAGGATTTTTCTTGAATGTGTAGACCTGACTGAGTCATTGTTCAGACTTTTACTTGTTCTCCATTGCCTCAGGACAAAGCCTAAGCTCTTTGGCCTGACATTCAAGGCCTTTTTCCATTGCCTTGTAGCCTGCAGCTGCCTCCATTTGTGTTCCAAAGCTGCTCATACTTTACATATTAGGTGTTTTCTTTCTCACCTCCAACTCCTTCCTGCAGTATCTCTGCCTTGTTGAACTGCTACATAGCCTCTAAACCCCAGCTAAAATATCTCCTCTGTGACTGGACCTTTGGCTAAGGTAATTTCCTCTTCTCCATCCCCTTAGCCCTTCGCCTACCCCAATATCGTAGACACTGTCATGGGCTCCTTCCTACTCCTGAGTTCAGGGGCTTTGTCTTCATCCCAGGGTCTGTGTACAGCACCAGGCAGGCAGAGGAGAAGGCAGTGAGTGTTTGATGAGTGTGTCACCGAGGCTGGAGGTGCCTTAGGACCCGCTCTTCAGGGGTGGCTTTGGGGGTGTGAGGGGAGGTCTCAGGGTTGACCCCGCCCTGGCTGCATCTATAGCCACCCCAGTCCTGGTCAGCCCCGGGGGCCTGTGTCTGAGCAGCTTCCTGCCTGTGAGGTTGGGAAGGGGCTTGGGTAGGAGCAGGATGGGGCGGTGGGAGGAAGCCCCAGAGTCAGGTGCCTGAGTCCCTGGCCAGCTGGGCTAGGGGGGACCGGGCCCTGGGGGAGGAAGAGCTGCTTCCTGGCTGCCCTGTGAGTGGTAGAAATAACTCATTCCTGGTCCAAAAAAATGCTAGGGGCCTGGCCTTTCCTGCTTCTTGGTAGGCCAGCCCCAGAACCGGAAGGCAGTCAAGTCCTAGGCTGGGAGAGCCCCTGCAGCTGGGGCATCCTGTGCTGGGAAAGCTGGCCCATCACTCTGTATGGTGGTGATAGTCAGCAAATACCAACAGCCAAGCAGATGCAGTCACTGCCATGGTCAGTTCAGAGCTGCCCCAGGGAGAAGGAGACCTGACAGGCTGGTGTGCACCAGGCCAAGGCCATAAGCCCTAGGCAGCAGTATACCCAGTCAGGCTCTCCTAGGTTTCCTAGGAAGCTGAAAGTGGGTCTAGAATGCCAGGCTCAGGGGCATGGCACTTCCTGGGAGTTGGTGACCAGCCGTGTCTCGGTTTGAAGCCCATAGAGGCTCTTCCCAGAGCCCAGTGTGGCTGGGTGCTGGCCACATGTCTTGTCATCCCATGCCAGCAAGAAAACAGGTCTGTGGGGAGTTAGTGATTTGCCTGAGGTCCCCCCGTGAAATTGGGGATAGCCCCGCAGAGGGGATAAACTGCACTGACTGTTCCTCTGTCCCTGTGCCTGCCAGCCTGTTCACCGGGATTCTTCAAGTCCCAGGCATCTGAGGGCCCCTGCCTGGAGTGCCCTGCGCACACGCTGCCGTCCCCCGAAGGTGCCACCTCCTGCGCATGTGAGGAAGGCTACTTCCGGGCCCCAGAGGACGCGCTGTCCACACCCTGTACTCGTGAGTCCCGCAGAGGGTCGGGGAGGGTGGCCAGCATGATGGGACAGTGACAGACACTGACCTCTGCCCTGTGCAGGCCCCCCCTCCGCCCCGCACTTCCTCACGGCCATGGGCAGGGGTGCAAAGGTGGAGCTGCGCTGGACGCCACCGCAGGACACTGGGGGCCGCGAGGACATCGTCTACAGGGTCACCTGCGAACAGTGCTGGCCGGAGTCCGGCGAGTGTGGGCCCTGTGAGGCCAGTGTGAGCTACTCGGAGCCCCCACACGCCCTCACCCGCACCAGCGTGATGGTCAGTGACCTGGAGCCGCACATGAACTACACCTTTGCGGTTGAGGCCCGCAATGGCGTCTCGGAGCTGGTGACCAGCAGAAGCTTCCGCACTGCCAGTGTCAGCATCAACCAGACAGGTGAGGCTGCAGTGGTGGCTGTGCCTGGGGTCCCTGCCTAGGTGGGACTTGGTGAGGAGGTGGAGGATGGACACCAGGGGCCAGCTGTGTCCAGAGACAGGGTGGTTGAAAGGGCTGTCTCTGGAGCTGTGGGACTTTGGCAAAATTACCTAGCCTCTCTGGGCCATGGTGTTCTCACCTGTAAAGTGGGAGCAACAACAGGGCTGTTGGGACAGTTTACTGAAGCATTCTATTTAAGGCTCTTAGAGCAGTGCCTGGTCCAGCCAAGAGCTCAGTGGGGCTCTCCTGTTCCTTAGCTTTTATTATTATGAGCTCAAGGATGTTCGTGGGGTGCAAGGCCTTATGGTGAGTCTGGAGCTGGAAGTTAGGGTCCCAGGGTACCCTCTCTTTTTGTTTTTTTTTGTTTTTGTTTTTTATTGGTTCCGGGGATCAAACTAGGGTCCTTGCACTTGTGCAGCAGGCATCAAAACCACTGAGCTAAATCCCCAGCCCTTTTTGTTGTTTTTTTGAGATAGGCTCTCACTATGTAGTTCAGGCTGGTCTTGAACTCACAACAATCCTCCTGCCTCAGCCTCCTGAGTGCTCAGATTACAGGTGTGAACTACCATGCCCAGTGCCCAGGGTGGGGTCTCGAGTGAGGGCTATGGGAGCAGCTGGCTCTGGGTCCACTGGTACCCCTGCCCTGGTGGCTCCTCACTCCCCTCCCTCACCCTCTCTCCCATCCAGAGCCCCCCAAAGTGAGGCTGGAGGGGCGCACCACCACTTCGCTGACCATCACCTGGAGCATCCCTGTGCCACAGCGGAGCCGCGTGTGGAAGTATGAGATCACCTATCACAAGAAGGTAACTCACTGAGGCTGCACTGGGCCCAGGGCAGGGGACAGCTGGTTACACAGGTGTTTGTTTACTAAAGCAGACGGGGACTCGGGGAGGCTCCCTTCTGCAGCTGGGGAAACAGGTCTGGAGCCTCCCGGGGCAATGCAGCGGGCATTGTTAGAGATGTGCTTGAGATCAGACATCGAGGGGCGAGGGGTCCTGGGTTGTGCATTTGCTGGCTCTGAGCTGAGCAAGTCGAATCTTTGAGCCTCGGTTTCCTCCTTTGTGAGAAGAGTGTCTAGGGGAGCCACCTTGCTGGGGAGGCTAGGGGGCCCTTGCCCCTCGCTCATTGCCTGCTCCCTGGTATGCACAGGGGGATGCCAACAGCTACAATGTGCACCGCACCGAGGGCTTCTCTGTGACCTTGAAAAACCTGGCTCCGGACACCACCTATCTGGTCCAGGTGCAGGCGCTGACACAGGAGGGTCAGGGGGCTGGCAGCAAGGAGCACGAGTTCCAGACACTGTGTGAGTAGGGGACCAGGACATGAGCCAGGCTGAGGCCCTGAGACCCAGAATGTTCTGGGAGGAGCAAGTGGGTCTAGGAATTTAGAAACACCCTCCCCGCCAGCTGGGGTCAGGGACAGCCCCGTGGAGCTAGGGAGGGGCAGAATTTCGGGCTGGGGGTGTGGGGACCAGGGCCATGTTATGAGGAGGAAGTCTATACTTCTGGCTTGGTGGGACTGAATTCAGATTGAGCATCACAGAAAGAGCCCGAGTTTAGGGTCCCCCAGGCCTAGGAATCCCTGTAGTGAGATCCTGGAAGCCCCCTCTGCCTGCCTGTGAAATGGGACTGAATTTCCCCCCTGGGACTTCATGTGTCAAAGCACTCAGCACACAGCAGGTACCCAGGTGTCTTCCATCCCTAACATGGGTCTTGTGTACAGCCAGGGGTGTTGTCATGATTTGGGGTGAAGGGCTTCCTGTCATTAGCTGCTCTTTCCCAGCAGCCTTGGAAGGATCTAGCAACATGGCAGTGATTGGTGGTGTGTCCGTCGGTGTTGTCTTGCTCCTGGTGCTGGCTGGAATCGGCTTCTTCATCCACCGCAGGTTGGTCAGAGAATCCATATCCAGGTTTGGGTAGGACACACAGGTCCAGGAACCTCAGTTTCCTCATCTGGAAAATGGGCTCCACAGTAATCTAATCTATTCTAATCCCTGCTTCCTGGGTGATTTGTGGCTGTGGTGAGCTGTCCGTGTTTAGCACAGTGCCTGGCACACGGTGGGCTGTGATGGTCATTATCTCTGCTCTTGTTATTAATGGTGTGTCCACACTTCATCCAAACACCAGCCGGAAGTGCTAGGCAGCTCTCATGAGGAAAGCCCTCATTATGGCTACTTATGGGGCGTAGATCTGAAGCGTGAGTCCTGGCTTGCTCATTTCCTCTGCGTGCCCCACACCCTCTGGCCGGCAGGGGACACTGAGCAGAGGGCTGAGCACACCACACCCTTGGACAGGGGGAGGTCTGGGAGGCCTTGCTGACCACCTGTGTGTTTGTCCTCCTGGGGTCTTTCAGGAGGAAGAGACTCCGTGCTCGCCAGTCCTCAGAGGATGTTTACTTCTCCAAGTCAGGTACGATGGAGCCCTTGCTGCAAGCTGGGCCCTGCTGCTGCTGCCCCCAGAGCCTTCCCAGCTCTGTGCCAGAGGTGGGGATAGCCATTTGTCTCCTGGGCTCGGGGTGGGGCCCAGAGGCTTCACTCTAGGGGCTCAACCAGGAGGTCCATGCCCCACAGCCCAGTCCACATCTCCTGAGGTCCTGGGTGATGTGGCTTCCTCCTCTTCTTCCACCCCTAGGGCCTCGCCTGCCCAGGGACCCCTTCTGAGCTGTGTGTGTCCCCCCTCCCCTTTGCAGAACAACTGAAGCCCCTGAAGACATACGTGGACCCCCACACATATGAAGACCCCAACCAGGCTGTGCTCAAGTTCACCACCGAGATCCATCCGTCCTGCATCACGCGGCAGAAGGTGATCGGGGCAGGTGAGGCTGGCGCTTCTGAGAGGCAGGTGGTGGGAGATATGGGTTGGGGTCGCCTGGCCTGACTGGGGGGCTCCCCTGCCTTGCCTACCCACAGGAGAGTTTGGGGAGGTGTACAAGGGGACGTTGAAGTCGTCCTCAGGGAAGAAGGAGGTGCCTGTGGCCATCAAGACACTGAAAGCCGGCTACACGGAGAAGCAGCGGGTGGACTTCCTGAGTGAGGCCAGCATCATGGGCCAGTTCAGCCACCATAACATCATCCGCCTGGAGGGTGTCATCTCCAAATGTGAGGCTCGGGGATGAGGGGCCCGACCCACAGGGGGATGGAGGCTGCCCTGGGGCCCCTCCTAGTCTCACACCTGTGCCATGCCCTGCAGACAAGCCCATGATGATCGTCACAGAGTACATGGAGAACGGGGCCCTAGACAAGTTCCTTCGGGTAAGGAAGTGATCAATGGCAGGCAAGGATGGGGGCCGGGTGCCCAGGTGCCCAGATGATAGCAGAGGACCTGTGTCCGGCAGGAGAAGGATGGCGAGTTCAGTGTGCTGCAACTGGTGGGCATGCTTCGGGGCATCGCATCTGGCATGAAGTACCTGGCCAACATGAACTATGTGCACCGCGACCTGGCTGCCCGCAACATCCTTGTCAACAGCAACCTGGTCTGCAAGGTGTCCGACTTTGGTCTGTCCCGCGTGCTGGAGGATGATCCCGAGGCCACCTACACCACCAGTGTGAGTTGGGGAACTGTTATCACTGGGACGGGACTCAGGGGCAGAGCCATCACTCTGTCCCCTACCTCACTCCTGCACACTGGGGCGAGGACCCCAGAGGCCAAGAACACCTCTGGGCACACAGAGGAGGGGACGCTGGTGACTGGGCTTCGTCCTCTGCAGGGTGGCAAGATCCCCATCCGATGGACAGCCCCGGAGGCCATCTCCTACCGAAAGTTCACCTCAGCCAGTGATGTGTGGAGTTACGGCATCGTCATGTGGGAGGTGATGACCTATGGCGAGCGGCCCTACTGGGAGCTGTCGAACCATGAGGTGGGTCCCATTTCGCAGACCGGCTTGTACTGAAGCCCTTCCCCCTTCCCTACTCTGAGGGCAGGGCAGCAGGGCGTGGGGGGCTAATCTTCATCTGGTACACACCACTCATGGCCTCAGTCAATTACTCGGAGTGCTTACAGTCCAGAGTTACAAAGACAAGGAAACAGGGAGTGGATGTGTGCATCCATATGTGCAAGTATACATGTATGTGCACATGTATGCCCGTGTGCCTGGGCCTCAGGCAGGCCAGAGGCCAGGAGGCTTCCCAGAGGTCATATCTCTGCTGGGACCCAGAGCAGAGGAAGGGAGCCAGGTGAAGAGAAGGCAGGGAAGAGAGCCCCGGCCAAGGGAAGTCCAGAGACTGGCTGGGCTCGTAGCGTAGCGGCTGCTCCTGGGGGCTCTGAGGGTAGAGGTCCCTCCCTGCATGGTGCCCTGGGGACAGCTGGAGACCCACCCAGGCATGGCCATGCATGCCTGCAATCGCAGCACTCTGGGAAGCCAAGGTGGGATGATTGCAAATTCAAACCCAGCCTGAGTAATTTAAAGATTAGCAAGACCGAGTCTCAAAATAAAAGGGGTAGGAAGTAGTTTAGGCAAAGGTTTTGGGTTCAATCCCAAATACTACAAAACAGAAAAGTAAGGAGTCATCCTGTTTCTGGGGCTCTCTTCCCCTCCCTTTTCTACCTCTGTGTGTGTGGAGGCCCTTCCAGGGGTCTGTACATAGCTCTTACCATGTCCTGCCATAACCATCCTGACCCCTCCCAGGTGATGAAAGCCATCAATGATGGCTTCCGGCTCCCCACGCCCATGGACTGCCCCTCGGCCATTTACCAGCTCATGATGCAGTGCTGGCAGCAGGAGCGTGCCCGCCGCCCCAAGTTTGCGGACATCGTCAGCATCCTCGACAAGCTCATCCGAGCCCCCAACTCCCTCAAGACCCTGGCTGACTTTGACCCGAGGTGAGTCCCATGCCCTTTGCCTGTGTGGCCTTGACTTTCTTCCTGCACACTCCTGAGCCACTGTGGTATAGTGGACAACGTGGGGCAGCGAGGGAATGGCAAAGGGGCTCAGAAGTTGTGCCCAGGCTGCACTTGGACAAGACAGGGGTGGCACCAGTCCCATTAGCAGGAGAAACCAACTCTTGGTGCACGTGCCCATCCCATGCTCAGACTCAACATGTTTTAACTAATTTAATATCCAAGAGATGGTCCTATAATTATCCCCTTTTGTAGACGAAGAACCTGAGACACCAGGTGGTTAAGCATCTTTCATGGCTGGCAAGTGGCCAGGTCCCTGAGTCTGTGCTCGTTATGTTCCTGATTTGGGGTTCTGGTGGTGCCTTGCTAGTAGGACTGGAGGAGCAGCAGTAGGGATGATGTTGAGTTTTTCCAGCATGCCGGGCAGTCCCCCTGAGCCCTACCTGGCCAGGCTTCCCCACTGCCCAGATGAAGAAACTGAGGCACAGGCAGCCGCATAAACTGTCCAGCTTAGTGACCAAACAAAACCAGACCTGGTACCACTTTCTCAGCACCTAGCAGTTGTGAACATAAGTGTGTGGAAGCGAATATCTGACCTCAGAATGTTCAAGTTACTTGTCATGGATTGTTTTCAAATGGATAATGTATTTGTTTGTTGAAGTAAAATTGTTTTGCAACATAAAAAAAAAAATGTAGACCTTAGGGAGCAGCAGCGTTCGGGACAGGTGGGCTGGATGTTGCAGCCCCTCACCTGCAGGCTTGTGGTTCCTATTGCAGGGTGTCCATCCGGCTGCCCAGCACCAGTGGCTCGGAGGGCGTCCCCTTCCGCACAGTGTCCGAGTGGCTGGAGTCCATCAAGATGCAGCAGTACACGGAGCACTTCATGGCAGCCGGCTACACCACCATCGAGAAGGTGGTGCAGATGACCAACGAGTGAGTAGCACCTGCCCAGACTCACTTCCTGCCTCACACCTTCCCTATCTCTCTCTCTGAGGCTTGGGGGGAAGGCAGAACCAGGCCAGCAGCCAGCAGCTCTGGGAACCCTCCCTTCCTGCTTCTTTCTCCAGAATAGGAAAATAAGAGTAAATGTAACAATGGCATAGCTGCCATTTATGGAGGGCTGGCCATGTGCTAGCTCTGTGTGGGTACACTCAGAACCAGTCCCCATGAGGACTCTGTAGGCAGGGCCTGTGACTATCCCTTGGGACTGGCGAGAGACGGGCATAGGAAGTGCTGACATGCCCAGGGTCCCACAGCCACTCCAGAAAGAGTGGGCTTCCAGACCTGGGCAACCAGGGCCTAGAGCTTAGAGACTGTGGAGATCACTGGTAGAGAAATGGGCTGAGAGGTTACCCAGCCAGCTAGGGGCAGCTTCCTCTCTAGGATGCCCTACTGATGCCCAGGAGAGAGACAGCCCGCCAGCCACACCAGGGCCTCTCTGCCCACATGGTCCACTCTCAGCCTTATATGTCTCCTGGGCCGCTTATGCCTAGTGGCCCTCGATTTGCCCTTTGTCTGGTGCCCCTTGTTTGGCTCTTCCTCCCCAGCTCCAGCATTACCATCCTTCCCGGCAAGGTCTTGGCAGGGACACCTCTTCTTGTCCCTGGAGGGAGAAGACATTATCCTCTTAGCCTTTTGTGCCTCTAAAAATAGCCAAGGATCCCCATAGCCCAGTTTGTGCAGTGTCCAAGGTCATGGCAGGAACAAGCCCAGGGCTGGGAGGTTTTGGGAACCACATGGAGGGAGGGGACAGCTGGGCCTTTCACGGTTCTGGGTCACAAGTTCTGAAATTTGGGCTGTGCATGAGCATTCTCTAGGGCTTCGACCTGTGGCCATGGGCTGCCCTAGGGGAGGGCTGGTGATGGGAATCAGGCAGGGACAGCTGAGCAGAGGGAGGGACGGGATGTGGAGAGGGGAGACAGGTCCCAGGATATCTCTTACTGCCAGCCAGCGGCAGGGCACACATTGGGCTCCATAGCCATTCCCAAGTGCAAGGTGCCACCTCTACCGCTTCCTAGGGGGTGTCCTTGACCAGGTTAGGTCCAGCATTGCTCTTGGCGGCCATTTCCCGGAGTGGAGACCGCGTGGGTGCCATGACGCGCCCCTTATGCTGAGGAGTTGCTCTCCTCTCCTTCACGCTCCCTTGCTTTCTGCCAACAGGCTACAGTCCCCAGGCTCCACCTTTCTCACTGGGAACCTGGGCCTCCAGGGTCCCCCAAGGGCTCCCCGAGGCTGACACCACTTCTCTGTGGTCACAGTACTTACAGGAAACACATGTCCTCAGAAGTGTCCCAAAATAGCCTAGGGTGCTCCTCGCCTATTCCTTTCCCATAGCCGGGGCTCTGGGATGGATGGAGGCTGTGTTGTTTTGAAAGGGCCTGGATAAAGCCCGGAAGTTGTTCAGGCTCCCTCCTCTCCCTGCTGCCTGCTAGTGCTCAGAGCCGGGACCTGTTTGACTCTCAGCTGCCTCCTCTTCCTCTCTCCCATTAACTGGGGATCCCAGAGCTCTCTTCACACTGTTGTCCACACGGATCCCGAAGGGGGCTGTGGCAGGAGAATTCAGCTCTTGCCTGGGGTTGGAGGTCAGTGTCCCACCACCTCTTGGCCTCTCTGCTTCTCAGACCTCTCCCGGGCCTGGATGCTTGTTCCGAGGTCCCACAGCCTCGCCTCTTTTCTTCTTGTGCATTCCCCGTGCTATTTGAGACCTGGTTGGGTTTCTAAGTTAGTGATTCTTGAGGTTTTTGAGGAGCTGATGAAACAATTGGATGCTGCCCCTCCAGGAACGTGCCCAGTGTGACAACAGGCCCTGTCTAGTTCAGGGCCACAGCCGGCAGCATCCTGTGGGATTGCAGGGTACAGGTTGATGGGTCTTAGGATCTCACACGCCACCTGCGTAAGCCTTGGGCCGAGGGGGTGCTTGCTGGGTGAGCGAGCCGTCTGCCGCTCATGGTTTCTCAGGGCTCTGTCCTGCCACCCAGAGTCCGCACTCAGCAGGTGGCCTTGTGACTTCCCAGGCCAGGGCCAGCATTGCAAGCACTCAAGGGAAACACCAGACCACAGGAAGGTGGCCTCAGTCATGTGTCTTCTTGCCTCTGTGCAGGGAGTTGACTCCTGTGTCCCTGAAGGGGAATCTGAGGCTGGGATGGTCTGTGATGGGCTAGAGGCATTGGCCTGGCCCATCTGTGACCCTCATCCCAGTGTCTTGCTCTGTTTGAGGTTAGGAAAGAAAGGGAAGGTTTGGGTGGCTATGTGGGAGAGTTAGGGGTGGGGGCTGGCTGCCCAGGAGCAACTCTTCAAAGCCTCCTCATTTTACATAGGAAGAAACTGAGGTGAGACAACAGAGCCAGACCCTCCAAGGCTTTGACGTGAGTTCGTGAGTTCAGGACTAGAATTTGGCCAAACAGACAAAAGCAAACTCCACTCCCACCCTGGGAGGGGCCTGGGCAATGCTCAGGCACATGGAAGCATCCATTTGCTCCTGCATTCAGCCACACTCCCTGAGGACCTCATGTGTCCCAGGCCTGCCCCAGGCCTGCCCCAGGCCCTGGGGAGGGTGGGGCTGACAGCATCCCCACCTTTCCCTTACTGGGGCTCCCAGAACCCGATGTTTTGTTGTTGTTTTTTGTTTGTTCGTTTGTTTGTTTTTGTCTGTTTATTTCTTTTTTGGTTTTTTGCAGTATTGGTGGTTAAACTCAAGGCCTTCCCACTGGGCTACATACCCAGCTCCCTCCCCTTTCTATTTTTATTTTTTTATTTCGAGAGAGGGCCTTATTAAGTTGCACAGGCTGGGTTTTGTTTTTGTTTTTGTTTGGGGTTGGTTTTTTTTGGTTTTGGTTTTGGTTTTTGGTTTTTTGAGACAGAGTTTCACTATGTAGTTCAGGCTGGCCTTGAGCTTGCGTCAATCCTCCTGCCTCAGCCTCCTGAGTGCTGGGATAACAGATGTGCACCATTATACCTGGCTTGATTTTGAACTTTAGATTTTCCTGCTTCACCCTCCTAGAGTGCTGGCATTTGGGGGTAGGCCACCACTTCCAGCATCTAGTGGTTCTTAAAGTGAGCCTCAGAGTCCTGGGACCCTATCACATGCAGACTCCCTGTCCTGCCTTTACCACTTGGGACCACTTGTCCCTCAGTGGACCTGGGGCTGCTGAGGCTCCTGAGTTTCTCCTTCCCTGGTGGTCTGAATAAGTGTTTCCCCCTCCACATTACCACACCTGCAAGGGTGGGGACACCTCCTCCAGGGCCGGCGTCTCTGGGTGCCCTGGGTCACCCATGAAGGTGGGAAGTGAGTGTCACTCAGGTGGTCAGTGAGGAAGTTCTCCCCAAAGTCTAACTTCTGTCCCGCTGCAGTGGGAGCAACACCCCCTCACCTGGGTCTGCCCTTCCCTCCTCAGCACTTCTCCACGTCCTGTGGGAAAGCCATGTCTCCGGAATTGCAAATAGAGCTTGCACCATATAATTAGCTCCGTTTACAGCCAGGAGACAGCCCATAAAAACCTGGGTGTTTTCATAGGTTTGGGCTGGTGGGTGAGGAAGGTGGAGGAGAAGACTCCCAAAGTTAACAATAAAAGTTCTGCTTGCGGGCTCCTGAGCATAAGTGGTTTTATGAGGGAATGGAGGGTGCAGGGTGCAGCCGGGGAGGCCAGGGCAGCCAAACCTCATGGGGGTGGGAGAGGAGCCCAGGGCTCCCTGGCATGGCTTCCTTCCCCACTGCCAAAGATTTTTTTGGGGGGGGGTCTCCCACCCTCCCCTAAGGCACTGTTTCTGTTAAGTCAGAAAAGACCCATGACGAAACCATGCCATAAGAAAATTTAAAGCGGAAGTTTATTATCTCTGACAACGTATACCTGGGCCATAAGTCCAGGAGTTGGCCCTGAACAAAAGCGGAAGTGTGTTTTTATTGGGGTGCAGGAGCAGGAAGTTGAGCTAGTGGGGTACAGGTCCAGGTTGGGGGGATTGGTTGACTAGGTCCCTTATGGGGCTCTCATTGGGAGGTGTTGTTGCCAGGCTAAGCAGGTTGTTGAGATCTGTTGGTTGGAAAGAAGCATATTGTGATTAGGCCTGGGTCATAAACAGGTCTCAAAGCCTCCAGTGTAGTTCATGTGGAAGGAGCAGTTTGTCTCTTGGAGTGGAGAGATGGGAGGTTTAGGTGCCCAACTCCGCCTTTTAAGGGTTGGGGTTGTGAGTCACCTCCTCCAGTGGCTGCTTCATGCTGAGTGGGGTCCTTGTCAAAGGGAGAGGACCAAGTCTAGAGCCGGGCTGGGTCTGCTAAGGCTGGGATATTGGCTCATCAGCACCAGGGTGGTGAGGGAGTGGATAGCACGAGGATCAGCTTTCGACAAATCGACTAAGGAGTGAAACTTAACACACAGACCACGACTATGAGGGGTCCTGGGAGGGTAGCAGCCACCTCGTGGTCATTGAGGAGAACCAGCATGTTTCAGTGTGTCGTTGTTCGATTTCTGAGGCTTTGTGAGTTTTTTGGTGGCATCTCACATGATGCCAGACTCAGCGAAAAAACAGCATTCATCCTCCAAGAACAAAGAGAGCTCCCTCCTTGGCTTTTAGAATATCAGGGCCTCTATGGTTTTGGAGGGCCATGGATGCCAAGGAATGTGTTTGGTTTTGGAGAGCTGTTAGGCTCTGTGCCAACTCTTGCAGGCTTTCAGCGAGGTCAAGAGAGAGTTGGTTGAAGTAGGTAAGTGATATGGTGAGACCTGCTATCCCTGTACTGGTCCCTGCTGTTATTCCCAATCCTATCAGAAGGGCATACGTTGGATTGATCTTTTGCTTTCGTGAGTCAACATCTTGTTCAGAAGTGGGCCCAGCTAGGAGCCCTCTAGGTCTACCTGGGGGGATGGAAATCCTAATGTCCATGGACCTGCCCAGTCGGTAGGCAGGCAGGAGTATGCTGAGGTGCCACAGAGAAAGAAGGTGCCTTTGGTCTCTATGCTCGTCGAGGGGTCTAGTGAGAAAGGTGCTGGTGGTCACTCAGGCAGAGGGATCAAGGCCGAACAGGGCCTAGAATCCTTCGGTGACGTGTGCAAGGCGTGGTCCAAACCTGGAGTGACTAGGCCCCTGCTGCCCAAGGGGGGCCTGAAAGGGAATCAGTGGCTGGTTTTTTGGGGGGTTTTTTTGGTACCAGGGATTGAACTTGGGTCCTTGTGCTTGTGAGGCAGGTGGCGGAACCACTGAGCTAAATCCCCAGCCCCTGACTCTGTTTTGCTTATCAGGGAGGAGTCAGCTTTCCCTCACCCAGACACAAGGAGTAGCCTTGTCCTCTTAGATGTGTGAGCTGAGCGCAGTAGCTTTTCAGCTTGGGAACTGTTTGCCTAGGGTCTGAACATGGCACCCCGGCAGTGTGATTTTGTACTGGGAGTTGCCCATCTGTGTGACTGAGTGTTGGGCTGTTTTTAGGTTTCCTTGTACAGAGGTAAGTCTGGTGACCCAGTAGGTCTTGGGCAGGTTAGTGCCCATGTGGTCAGTCTGTCTGTAGATGATGAGGGTGGAATTTTACTGAAGACGTTGAGTTCCTACACATTCGGAGGAGTGGGTGTTTGAGAGATGTTTATGGATAGGTCTGAGGGTCTCAGGACACGTTTACCTGGATCCAGGTGGAGGCCTGTGTAGGGACGACATGGGAGCCATGGCAGTGGGAGAGGCAGGGCCAGCAGCTCTTTGTCAATGTGGGTTAGGTGGGTTGAGGCGATGATGGGTAAAATGGAGAGTGTTGATATAGATGTTATATCTCAGGGGTGGTAGGTTGGTCTGGTGAGTTTATACTAACAGATAGAAACAGAAGAATGAGGTTTGGGGAAAATGCTTAGAAAGTGTTTTGGAGCCATAGTTCCTTATGAGAGAGGTAAAGGTGTCTATCAAGACAGAGCCAGGAAAAAAAAAAAAGACAAAGACAGAGCCAGAAAGTGGGTGGGGGGGCACCACTCTAGCTCAGAGAGGAGATCAAAGGTGAATTGGACGAAGCGAGACTAAGAGAGACGTGAAAACCCTAAGATCAGTTTTGGGTTCTTGGGTTGTGTTGGCAGTGGGATGCTGTTGGGTGGATGACCCAGATGGCAGATCCAATCAATAACAACAATCTTAAGATAAGGGCCCACATATGGTGGAGCATATTTTGGGTCTCACCTGGGCCCAGGAGTGTTTGAGCTCTTGTCGAGTTCTTCTGGGATCCAGTGTAACTTAATCCTCACTGTGGAGAGTCAGCCTGGGCTCACCAGTTTGGATGGGGGGCCAGTGCCCTGGGTCTTGAGCCTGGAGAGCTGCTCCCAATGGGTCTGTGGGAAAGGGACCAGGAGAGGATGTCTCTGGGCCCCATGTGGCTCTGTCTTCTGTGGAGACAGTCTGGACAGTCCATCTTCCAGTGAGTGCCACCACAGAGGGGCACAGTTTCTCCAGTGGATGTGGGCTAGAACACGGTGTGGCCCAGTATTGTTTTTCTACACTGAAAACAGGGCCCGAGGAGGGGGGTGGTGGTGTCTTTTTTTTGTGTGCTACCGGAGATCATGTCTTGCAAGGCAGGCACGGTGCCACTATAAATCCCCGGGCAGTGTGGGGGGTTCTTTTTTAGAAGACCCCTTGGTGTGAGAACCTTGGCTCGTACCTGATACTTGGCTTTGGTATGTGCTTCTTTATCAGCTGGAACCTGGTCCTCTAGCCCTGAAACACCTTGAAGGCAGCCAACCTGAGGTCTTCCACGAGCATCTAGGGCTCATCCTCAAACTTTTTAAGTTTGGCTCAGATATCAGATTGAAGTAGGGTTTAAGGAAAAGCTGGCCCTCAGCAGACTGGGGAAATAGTCAGGTATGGAAGCCAAGGGCCTCAGTGATCGAAGCCATGAGTGGGCTGTTTTGGGGGGGTTTTTTGGTGCCGGGGATCAAACTCAGATCCTTGCACTTGCACAGCAGGTGGCGAAACCACTGAGCTAAATCCCCGGCCCCTGGGCTGGGTTTTTATTTGGTCCCAGTAGACTTCTGTGATCTTGTTAGCAAACCAATTTGAGAGCTGCCTAGTTGAGGACTGTTTTAATGTAACCTATGAAGTCTAGACATAATGTCCAGTGTCCACAGTCAGGGTGATTAACCCAGAACGGATCTTGTCTGAAAACTGCCCTTGCCCCAGGATCCTTAGTGGGGTTTTTTTCTTTCTTTCTTTTGTCTTTTTTGGTACCGGCAATCAAACTTTGCGCTTGCAAGGCAGGTGGTGGAACCACTGAGCTAAACCCCGGCCCCTTAGTCGTGTTTTTTAGTAGCCTGTTTTTCATCTGCTGCCCTGGCTCCCACCTGCCACACCCTGTCCCCCTCCTCAGGGAGAGAGGTACTAGTGAGAATGATGTGAATGTCCTGCCAGGTAAGGTTGAAGGACTGAGTCAGATATTAGAATTCTTTGAAGTATAGAGGAGGATTCATGGAGAAAGACTCTAAGTGTTTTTCAAATTGGTAAAAGTCTGGCAGAGAGAAGGGGATGTGAACCCAGATGGGACCCTTGGGTCCAGCCACCTCTCAAAGAGAGAGTGTGGTGGAATCAGGCTGCGTAGGAGACTGGGGGTTAAGGCAGGAGAGAGCCTTCTAGGTGGGGGTGGTCTGCTGGGTCAAAGTGTTGGAAAGAGTCAGGGACCAGGGCTGTTGAAAGCCCAAGCCTGGTAAGGGGGTGTCACAGTAGAAGGAGGGGGACATTTGGGTTACATCGGGCTGTGGGAAGATGAAAGGTAAGGAGAGCAGAGTGAAGGGGCAGCCAAGCGTGAAGGGCAAAAAAGGCCCAAATGTAGGGGACCACTTCCCACTTTCCAGAGTGGTGGAGGAAGTTATCAGGGTTAAGAGCATGAGTTCAAACGACCCATTTTCTAGGCTGTGTTACAGAAGATTAATTTTGGGGGTTTAATATATCCCTTTAGCCCCAGGATAGAGTGGCCAAAAGGCACCAGCAAGGACATCCCTGGCTTGGGGAGGATTGTGGAGAGCCCGGTCTGACTGCCTGAGGGGACTCCTCAGAGGAATGGAAGTCTGACTCAGGAGGACAGGCATCCTGTTCTCGAGGGAGCAGACACTGAGAAAGGGAAGACAAAAGGCTGTGTCCAGCGATTGTGTCTGTCCCCTGACCCAGTGGATAGAGGTCGGGCCCAGCACCAGGACTTGCAGATCTGACTGAGGCAGCGGCACCCCCAACAGCAACAAGAGACCTGGCCTCACTGCTCACAGTTCCTGGGAAGAGGGTGTGGAGGCTGGAGGCAAACTGCCGATGACAGAGAAAGGGAATTGGAGAGTGGGCCACAGACTCAAAAAGGGAAGGGGGGACCAGGGATTTAGCTCAGTGGTTCTGGCGCCTGTCTCGAAAGCGCAAGGTCCCGAGTTCGATCCCCAGTACCAAAAAAAAAAAAGGGAAGGGGTCTGTCACATGCCCAGGTGTCGGCACCAAATGTTAGATCGGAAAAGACCTGGGGTGAAACCAACAGAATAACCAGCCTAGAGGAAGTTTAAAGTGAAAGTTTATTGTCTCTGGCAACCGAAATTGTGTTTTTATCGGGGCACGGGAGCAGGAGTTGGGGTCTGTCGGTTGGAAAGAAAGATATGGTTAGGATGTGAAGCCCCTGGGAAAGTTTATGTGGAAGGAACAGTTTGTCTGTTGGTGGTGGGGGAGGTGGTTTAGGCCTCATAGTTTCCCCCTTTTCAGATGAAGAAGTTGAGGTTCCCGTAGGGGAAGACAGGAACCCAGTCACCTGACCCTCGAGCTCTACCCACTAGATACTAGCAGAGCGCTCACCCTTGATGGTCCTTCAGCATGGACTTCCTGGCCCCTGCTTAGCTGGGGAATTGGAGAAAGTGAAGGGTGAAATGAGACAGGGGTAGGGAGAGACCTTGGGTGGGGGGTGGGGGGCTATGTGCAACACCCCCAGAGGGTCCCTGGAAGCCAGTCCGCTGGCAATGGCCTCCTGCTGTTGGAGAGAGGACTCAGTTCCCCAGCAAAAAGGGAAGGGAAGCAGCTGTTCACAGCTGGTTTAATTCCCAGCTTTGGTCCCTCCTAGCCGTGTGACCTGGGGTTAGTCACTTCACCTCTCTGAGCTTCAGTTTACTAATCTGCAGTGCGAGGGTGAAATGATTATTTACTTCACAATTAATTGCAAAGATTAACTGTGGGAGAAAACTCAGAGTGGATGTGTCTGCCATTTTCCTAACTTTGTCCATGGCTGGCCATCTGAGCAAGCTTCTAGGATCTGGCTCCTTCAGGCCTCCCTAACCGGCATGCTCCCAACCCCACAGGTCCCCAAGGCCCCTTCCCCACTTCCCGCCCCTCTGACCTCCCTGTTCCCCCCAGCTGCCCACCTCACCCTGTGCTGCCCAGCCCCCTCCCCTGCTCTGGGCCCTAACACTCCCTCTCTCTACCTCCTGCCCCTCAGCGACATCAAGAGGATTGGGGTGCGGCTTCCGGGCCACCAGAAGCGCATCGCCTACAGCTTGCTGGGCCTCAAGGACCAGGTGAACACTGTAGGGATCCCCATCTGAGCGCCGACCGGGCCTTGAGTCCCCCTGGAAAAAAATACTTGAAGAAACAAAGTGCCCTTCCTGCCGTCTCCTCGCCGGGCCACCAAGGACCTTATTTATTTCTAGCTGTTCCTTATGGACCACACTGAGGCCTCTACTGGGAACCTGGGATAACACTGTGGCCTGAACTGGTAGGCTGCTCCAGGAGGCCGGGCCCAGCCTCTTCCCCTGCTGAGCACTTAGCAGGCACCATCCTGTTCCCAGCATCTCCCAGGGCAGGAGCCCTGCCAAGTCGGTGGACAGCACAGGGGCCATTTCTACACTGACCTCCCGTTCCACCTCTTCTGGGAGAAGCCATCTTGGAAGATGGAGGCTCGGCCCACGGCCAAGCGAATAGGGTACCTCAGGCCTCAACCCTCATGACAAGAGGACGGACGTTGAACTCAGCTCAGCGAGCCCCGAAGTGGACCTCCATCCCTCCAGTGCCTTTTCTCAGGCCCCTAGGACCTGTCCTCGGCCCTCATGGGTCAGTCTTTTGCTTTCCTGGGGCCCTCTCAGGGTGCTTGGTTGTGCTGAGGTTTTTTTAACTATACATTTTGTACTTTGTGGAGAGAATGTGTGTGGCAGGGGGCCCCACCGGGGCTGGGGCCAGACATTCCAGGCTGGGTGGGCAGTGTGCTACAGGAGTCCCTGGCTTTGCCAGCCCACCCATCTCCACCTCTTTAGATGACTTCTGTCAGTGTTAATGATTTTGTTTTACTGGGTTTTTTTTGAACCTTAATTTATTATTTTTTTATATTTATTGTTAGAAAATGACTTATTTCTGCTCTGGAATAAAGTTGCAGATGGCTCAAATTGATACTGGCTTTTGGTTTGGGGAGTGGGGGGCTTCTGAGAGGACTCCTGAATATGGTGTGGGGGTGCGGGGCTCTCCCACCCCTGAGTGTTTGGACAGAGCTCCTTGCATCAGGCAGATGGGCCATGTCACCTGGGAGCGGGGGTGGGTGGAGTGAGTGGAGGCCAGGCCCCACCGAGCTCACCCTCCAGGCCAGCAGGCCCAATCCCCCTCCAAGGCGAGCATTGATGAGAACAGCTGTCCTCGTCCCTCCCAAATGACTTGGAGCTGTTGAAATATTCTTTCCACCACCCATGTGGAGCTCTGAGGTTTGCAATAGCTCCTCACAGGTTCTGGCTTGTTGGAGCCTCAGCACTGTTATGAGTTTTGTGGGTGCTCCCATTACACAGAAAAGGAACCAAGGCTGGGCCCCATGTCCAGGGCTCACAGCAAGTTAGGAGCGGAAGCCAGAAATGGAAAGCATGACCAGGAATCTCAATGAGATGCTTTGCTCACCCCTAAGGAGACAGAGCTCAGAGATGTGCAGCGACTCGTCCAAAGTCACACAACAGAGGCCTCTGGAAGCCAGAATCCCAGTGTCAAACTGTGAGCCTTAGCTCTACCAGGCTGCTTCCCTGCTTCACAGGTTGTTCACTGTGGGGCTCAGAGGTGTTGAGCCCAGGTGATCAGGGAATGACCTGTGAGCAGAGCTGGTCTGGGGCCTGGGAGAAAGGCTACCTGGAGGTGACCCCAGGCTGAGGCCTCAGGGACTAGGAGTTGTTAAGCAGTGGCAGGGAGCAGTGCCGGCCTAGAGGGGTGGGCGTGTGAGACTGCATGTTGTGCAAGGGAACCTGGGGACTCAGCCTGGAGTTGTGGGGAGACATAGGAGAGATCTGGCCAACAGGGAGAGTGCTCTGCTTGCCCTGGGTGTCAAGCAGGCCTGCTGTGTACCCTCCCCCCCCAGCCTGGGTGAGACACCCCCTGTCAGGTGAGGCTGGGTGGTGAGGGGAAGACATCCGGCTGCCTGGTATGCTGGGCACGGTGGCTAAATCAGTCCTTCCTGGTGCCTGACACTGCCCTGGCCTGGCCCAGGTGGCCACTGTCACTCTGTGGCTTGGGCCAGGGCTTCTGCCACTACCGGCTGACAGAGTTGTGGGTCCCACAGGGGACAGATGCAAAAGGGAGCTGCAAGGGCAGACACTTAAGAGTCCAGGCCCAAGTCCTGTTCCCAGAGCTGCTGAGCTGCCAGATGCCCCACTGGTGAGTGGCATGGACCGGAAGTGGCTTGGGGGGAAGGCGAGCTGCTGTGTGTTCTCTCCATGAGCTTTGATGGACACAGGCCATCCTGAGAGCTGTGACACTGTACAAGTCCTTTGGATGTCAGGCTCAGTGTTTGGCAGACAGCAGTCTGCAGTTACTGGACCCACTATTAGGGAGGGGAAACTAAAGCAAATTCAGATCTGTCCCTCAGAAACCTTGGGTATAGTGATACCTTTATAGCAACAAACACACTCAGGCCCAGGCCTTGGCTCCCAAGCATTGTTCTCCAATAGAAGGTACCAAGACTCCCTTCAAGAAATGGTTGATTCTATGTTGGAGGCAGGAAAAATACAAGATGTGTGGGGAGTGTCTTGTGCGTGCCAGAGAGTAAGGAAGTGCTTAAAATATACACAAATGGGGGCTGGCTGCCCTGGAGCCCCGTGGTAGAGCGCTTGCCTAGCATGTGTAAGGGCCTGGGTTTCGTCCCCAGCATTGTAAATAACCAGCTGAAGGAGCCATCCTGAAAGAGCAACCTGGCCAGATGTGGTGGCTCAGACCTGTAATTCTAGCACTCTGGGAAGCTGAGGCAGGAGGATCCCAAATTTGAGCCCAGCCTGGGCAATTTAGTGACTTAGCAGATCTTGCCCTCCCAAAAAAACAAAAGTAAAAATAAAAACATTAGAAAGAAAGAGCAACCTGGGGCCAAATCTAAAACAAGTTGACCAAAAAAGCAAATAACAGAATGTTAGATTATAAACCCAAGATTAAAATAAATACACCTACGCTCATACTGATATACATGATTGAATAAATAAAGGGGAGTGCAAGGGTTCCTTACAGAATTCCAAATAATTCATAGAGATTCTCCCCCCTTGGTAGTGGGGCTCACCTCTCCACTGCCCTCAAGTGTACCCTGGACGCCTTTCCAAAGAAAAGTATGGAAGGATTAAAAGAGAAAAGAAGGAAAAAGTGGCTTTACAGCCAAGAAACCTGGCAAGCCTCACCATAACCAAGCAATCAAAGTTAACATCGGGAGCAAAGAAACAAACAATCCAGCCCAGCACAGAGCAGTGCCCTGCTAGAAACTCATGATTGGGATCGCCAAACACTGCCACTAGGTTTGCTGGGCACCTTCCACTGCAATTTAAGGAGGTTTTGAGCTGGGCGTTGTGGTGCAGGCCTGTAATCCCAGCACTAGGGAGGCTGAGACAGGATTGCTGTGTGTACAAGGCCAGCCTGGGCTCCATAGTGAGTTCAAGGCCACCTTGGGATACATAGTGAGACCCTGTTTCAAAAAAAACGAAAAGGGGGGTTTGACTGTTTCTTGATCTTCTGACCACCCTCCCAGGTAGGTGTAACTGTTAATCCATTTTAAAGATTTGAACATGGAAGCCAGGGATGTTAGAAAATTTACCAGAGCCACCCAATTCTTCGTTCAGATTCAGTGTCTACCCCTAGGCCACAGAGGTCCTGATTAAAAGACTTTCCCCTCTCTGCCACAGTGGTCACCTCCCTGGAGAAGGTCTGAGAAGCACGGCCTCTGGGGAAACTGAGGCACCAGGCCACACTGCCCCATGCCCCAGGCACCCAAATGGTTTACTGCTCTATTCTGTCCCCCACCCTCAGTGATTTTTCCCCTTCTGGGCCAGGCCAGTACTCAGGCCACAGAGATGCATGGGGGTGGCAGTGGCCATGGACTGGGTGCCAGGCTAAGGGGAGGAGCTGGGGGTTACAGGAGACAGAGAGGACCTGGGTCAGCTTCCTGGAGGAGGAGCCATCCCCGCTAAGGCTAAGGTCACATGGGCATCCTCTAGGTGAGGGGATAAGAGAAGCCCAGCCCAGCCCCGCCAGTCTCCAGGCCTGCATGCTTGGGGCTGAGGCTTCCCCCACACCTGGGCGTCCTGTGACCAGGACAAGCCTCCCCCACCTCAGTGCCATGCTGGTCCCTGCTCTTATTCCCACCCCAAGCAGAACTTCCTGTCAGCTTCGGTCTTTCAAGGCCTTCTTGGGCTCTGAGCTGCAGGCACCCTGGCAGCCCTTTGATGCACTCAGCAGATCCCTGAAGGAGGTGGAGGCTACAATTAGAGGGTGCAAGAGGGGGATCACCCTCTGCCTCCCAGGCTTCCCATCTGGGCAGCAAGTTAAAACAGTTTTGCCAGCACCAGCCTCCGATTTCCTAATTAATTAACAAACCCTAGAGGAAAACCTTTGGCTGAGACCCAGGGCCTAGGATGGGCCTGGGGTACAATCGAGGCTGCACCTTGTGAAGTGCTGAGTTCATGGCTCCAGCCCCCTGCTTCTGCACCCAGACTGTGCACCCCTCCCCAGAACAGTGTACAGCACCCAGAGGCTTCTAATAAATAGCTGCTTGATAAATAGGATAAGGGAGATGAGGGAGATGATAAGGGAGAAGGACTGGGCTTCTGAGGGCCTAGTGGAGCCATGGAGTGACAGATTATTCACCTTTTTAACTTTTTATTTTGAGACAGGCTCATGCTAAGTTGCTAAATTGTACAGGCTAGGCTTGAACTTGGTGATCCTCCTGTTTCAGCCTCCCAAAGTGCTGGGATTACAGGGTATGCACCACCTTGACCAGTGCAATCAAGTAATTCTGAACACCTAGTATCTGCCAGTCTCTGAGTCATGCCCGACCCACATTGTCTTATTTTTTTGGGGGGTACCGGGGATCGAACTCAAGTCCTTGCACTTGTGAGGCAGGTGGTGGAACCACTGAGCTAAATCCCTGGCCCTACCCACATTGCCTTATTGAAGATCACAGCCCTTATTGAAGATCTACAGCCTGACCACCCTGAACAAGTCAGATCGACTCTGAAGATCACAACCTTGCAAGGCCTGTATCTGTTCCCATTGTAGAAGGGGACAGTGAGGCCCAACGAGGTTACAGTGATGGTGACAGAGTAGATGTCGAGCCAAGGCCAGCTTCTCCACTTCCTGCTATTGAGCAACCTTTGGAGGCTTGGGCAGGAGCTTTGGGCTGGAAGAGGAAGGTAGCTTCTTCTGGCCACTCCTGTTGGCCTGTCCCAGGCACCTCTGGTCTCAGTGAGTCCCTCTGCACGGTGGAGGACTCCAGGAAGCGGATCCTAGTTGGGAGGAGCCCCCACCTCCACCTGGCACCCCTGCACACTTGCCAGTTCCCCGATCCAGCACCCTCTTCCAGGCGGCAGGCTGCACTCCAGCCCTGGGCCTGGCTTTCCAGTCCACGCCCTGCCAGCCAGTCTCCACCAGCGGAATTAGGTCCGGTTTCTGGGAAGCTGCTGCGGCCGCATCCCACCCTGCCTAGGAGGGGGCCCCCTCACTCCTGCTTCGCCCAGCCGTTTCAGCAGCCTCATCACATTCCCCAGCGGCTCAGCAGCCTAGGCCTGAGGATGCAGTTTCCACAGGGGCCTGGCAGAGCCCGGTCTCCTGCTGGGCGGAGGAGGGGCCAAATACACAGCTGGGCACAGAGTGCTTCCCCCACTCCCTACCCTCTGCCCGGACCTGACTCCGGCCTTCACGTCTCGAGGAGCCCCCACCCCCGACCCTGCCAGCCCCACCTCCAGCCCTATCTTATCCCTGTCTTTCCCAGACCTGCAGCACCTCCTTCACTTGCCTCCCTCCACAGCCCCAAGACCTGTGGGGGGCTTGAAGGACAGCCCCCACGCCCCCCAGAGATCTGTCTGTCTGCCTCTATCCAAAGGAAAAGTGGATTTATATCCTGCCCTTTGTGGGACTGTGGCCACTGCCCACCTGGCACCAGCTCTGTC